TTAGAGGGAATAGTTGGCCTGCAATGCCCCATACCTGTCTATGTCTCTGAAAGGGGGGTCGTTAGAGGGAATAGTTGGCCTGGCTGAATAGGCGAGGTCTTCTGTTCTCCTGTAAAGAGGTTGGAGCTGAGATGATGGCGGGAAGGAATGGACTTTATCGCTGCATTGAAGGTTTTTTAAGCTGAAGTCTGAGTCCTAACCCTAAAATCTAACCCAGAGTCAGAAAGAAGATCTTAGTCTCTCTGAGTGGGTTTCCTAAAGACTTCAATGCTGATCTTCTTGGCAAATGATCATCTTTAGATGAATGTTTTGATCTGCTAGACATTCTCTCTGCCATTTTGTCTTTAAACCGCCCTGCTCGCTTTGGGCATGGGGGGGGGGGGGGTGTCTAAGTCGTGAAAGGATGCTATTCACATTGGACTGTGGAAGAACAAAGATGTACGGTGTAGACGGTCTACTTCTTCATGTCACGTTTCTTTGTTCTTTCTATCTGAAATAGTGAATTATTGCTTTTTGGTCCTTTGAATTAATTCTACGTCTAAAAATAGTTGCAACCCAGCATGTGCCCCCGCCCCCTTCAGTTTCACACCCTCCTTTAAGCTGTTCATTGGTTCCAAAGTTGTTATTGCTAAGCTTCTGTCCATTTTAGCATGTGACTGGAAGGCTTAAACCGAAACATCAATCGATAAGTGAAACAGAAACACAACAGCCGAGTGTCGGGAATCTCACTGGGATGAGAAACGTTCAGGATACAGATCCCAGCGAAACCACACCAATGAATCTGGAACGACAAAACTACCGTTTCACTTCCTTTTAGTTATAATGTCAAAAGAGAAGTGTGAAGGACGAGACATTATGGTGAGGATTTATTCACAGTATGATGCTGGAGCATCTTATGTTTAAAAAAGGAAAGTTAGAAATATGCTGGGAAAATAGTATGGTTGTCTTTTGAGTCGCTTTTTATTCTACTTTTATTCTTTTGTTGTTTTTGTTTTATTTTTTATGTAATTTGTACTTTGAGTCTGTAATTAAATCTATTACTGAATCTCTGAGAGTGAAGATGGACGCTTCCTGCCTCATTCTTTCATTCTCTTACGCTGTCTAACATCTCAGTGCAGAGTTACACAAAGGCAGCTTTAAACGGAGAGGAGGACCACAATTTAAAAGGTTTAAAAAACTCTTTTCTGTTGTAAATTCATATTTGTTGGTTATTCAGAATGTGGGACATAAACACTAGTACGGCCTATAATAAAGCTAAATGGCAAATTGAAGCTGAAAGGCTATACCTCATCATGCAGCTTTGCTCCATGCCTTCATATTAGCCAATCACAGAGCAGGACATCTTTTTTTTAGCTGAACACCAACCGTCCTCCACCCATTCATCACATCCACCAGCCTTCCTATGGCTCCCCTCATTCTGCAGCCTCCAGTGTCAGAGAACCTGTTTCCACCTGCTTTACACAGATCCACAGCGTTCAGCATCCACTTCTTCTGCCAGGGGGCGGAGCATCAATCATTAAACGCCAATAAAATTCTTCTAACTGCTGATTTTTCTCCATGTTGGTCTCTCCAGGTTGAAAGAGCTTAATTTCCTAATCCTAAAACCATCTATAAACTCCAATTATAAATAAATACATATGGAAAAAGGCGTCTTATATTTTAATTAATATTTATTTAACCAATAAACATTTAAATTGAATTTACTGAGAACTGATGTTCTTCTGTTAAAGGGATTAATTTTATCTTTTATGAGTTTTTACAGAATTTTCCTCCAAATGGCTTTTAAAGTCCATTTCTACGGAAGAGGATTAGGGCCACTGAAAAAAAAAGTAAACTGATTTTTAAATTTTATTTCAGTTTAACATGAGAAAAAAGTCAGAATTCTGAGATTAAAGTCAGAATTCTGACTTTAATCTCAGAATTCAGACTTTTTTTCTCGGAATTCTGACTTTAATCTCAGAATTCTGACTTTTTTCTCATGTTAAACTGAAATAAAATTTAAAAATCAGTTAACTTTTTTTTTTTTCAGTGGCCCTAATCCTCTTCCGTACATTTCTATTACATTCAAACGGTCATAACAATATTCCGTTCTGCTTTAGAGTTAAATCAACAGCCTCTTGCTTCATTATATAGAGCAGTGCACATCTGTGTCATGTGATCTAGAGTTATGCATCAATTAACCCCCCCCCCCCACACACACACATTATTGACTCATCTCGCCTTACGCCTTTGACGCACACACACACACACACACACAATCTCTCTCAATATTTGATGGCAGCTAATGAATTGCTCAAAATAATCGATTCGATGAAACTAATTACCCTATAATGAAAACTTGATTAAAGCTCCTATTTTATAAACATTTAGTAACAGCTATAGTTTTCCTAAAGCCTGTTTCTCTTCCCTCAGTGATGTGATTTACTCTCTATTCAGAAGAAATGCTCTGTGTTGAGATGATTAGAGTGAGATTTGTCCGCATTTACAATGGAATAAAAAATTGTGTATAATTTTTTTTTTTTTAAAGGTGAAGTCCGATAAGCCAGGAATAACCAACGGATCATTATTTATACCTAAAACGAATACGTTTGAGGTGTTTTAATGAAATAAGACGGCTGAATGAGAGGATTTTTACTGCTTAAACAGCAAAAACAGGCTCTGAGGGCCTCATTGTTATTGTTTTTTATTTTTAATGACAGAATAATAAGTTTTCATGACCAAAAACAGCTGTTTTAGAAAATATCTCAACATTTCTGTAAGCGATGCTCATTCATTGTTCGATTCCACTACGTTTAAGCCCTAAATTAAAAAATGTTTTGTGTGAAAATGTTAAAAGCTTTCAGTTCTGTTGTTATTTGCAGTATGCGTCCATAAAAATAAGGTTGATGTTTATTTTACACAGAACAAGGATGGATTATAATCACTTTTCTTCCATCCAGTGGTGTGACTTATGCTGCGTTAGAGGATTTATAGACCAAATAATGAAATCATATATAAACACTTTGTCAGGCTTTCATTGTATTTAACAATCTTCTTTGTTTTGGTCTCATTTATGATATGATGTCATAACATTGAGGAAAAGTTCTCCCCGAACTTTCCTTTTAAAACTGTTGATCGGCTCGTTTACAGTCAACAACCGTCTGTCAGCAGGTGGATGAAGTTACAGCTGAAACCTGCAACAAGCCAATATTACATTTAGTCCTGATTCGCTGTTTGCTTCGCTAATCACGCTGTAAGCTAACGAGTAAATAACAGACAGTGCCACTCATCTTAACCAGCTGCGGTTCTAGGTGGTGAACATCTAGAAATAAGTAAAACATTTCTTAAATCAAGTGTATTTACCCCTTAAATTTAGTAGGTTAATAAGATGATTTGCCAATTGAATGAGTATTTTTACTCTTAAAATAAGATAATTAGATAAGATGTGTGTGTAATCGGACAATTCAGTTGCTTTTTCTTATTTTAAATGTAAATTATCTTGTTCCATCGGTAAAGTATCTCATTTACTTACTCCATTCAAGACAAAATTCACCTATTCTAAGAAAAAAGGACTTATTTAGATTTTAATTTTACTTTTGCAGTGCAATAGAATCAAAGTACTACACTGCAATACAATCTAGAAAAAGTAAAGATTTCCTAAATTAAGTGAATTTCCCCTCAATTTGAGCAGGTGTTAGGTTTAACCAAATGATGATTATAAAGTTAATGTTTGTGCATATGAAACATTGAAGAAATAAGATGCTACATTCTGTCCTGTGATTCAAACAGGCGGGTGCTGGGATGTAAGCAGCCTTTCTCATTCCTGCAGGAAAAGCTGTTTGAAAAACCTTTTGTGCTTCAGATTCATTTTTGTCCCAAATGAAATATGAACTCACAATATTTTAAAAGTAAATTTTCTTGTTCTATTGGCAAAGTGTCTCACTTACCTCCTAATTTCAAGAAAAAAAAGCACTTATTTTAAGTAAAAAACGACTTATTTAGATTTCGATTTTTTGCAGTGTAACAATATTCAGTTTAATTCCTACAGCAATCTGTAGATTTCATAATATATTATAGTAGATGTGTTATTTTGTACAATACTAGTGAACATCTTGCTCCTTTTTCCACACAATGAGATTTGAAAGCAGTTTAAATGATTCATCTACAAAAATAACCCAAACTTTCTTGTTACACTGGAAAAATAATCTAGAAATAAGAAAAAATTTCTGAAATTAAGTGTATTTACCCTTAATTGGCGCAGGTAGATTAGATAGTTTGCCAATGGAATGAGCATGTTTACTCTCAAATAAAACAATGCAATTGTGTTTTCTTATTTTTAGTGTAAATCGTCTTGCTCCATTGGCTAAATTGCATTTTACCTCTTCAATCCAAGAACAAATGCACTTATTTTAAGAAAAAATGACTTATCTAGATGTAGATTTTTCCAGTGTACATGGCAGCGTCGTGAGCAGAGCTGTAATTTCTCTCCATCTCTCTCTGAGACAGTTTGTGATGGCACTTCAGCAAGGCAGCAGACTAAACTGCATGATTCAACAGTGCATGACAGTGAGGTGGAAAAGGGAAGCAGGGTTTGTGCGCACAGACGCACACAAGTTAGATAGCCAATTACACCCACAGGCCCCCATGGGTAAACAGTGCTATGTATGCAGCGGCTCCAAAGTGATTTCTGTGAATCAGAGGAAGCTCCTGGTTTACCTGTCAGGCTCCATGTCAGGGAGATGACTCGCTGGGGGTTTAAGGGAAAAATAAGGAAGGATATCTGACATGTCCTTCAATAAAAAGCAGCAGCAGACGACTGGAAGCTGTTTCTAAAGCCTCATGTATCATCCTGTCAGCACCTGTTGAACTCATTGTATATTATGTAATGGCTGTGACCTTATTATTACTATATATGAGAGACCATGCTGAAAAAACAGCATTTAAACACTATATAACAGGATTAATAGCATCGCTTTAGCTGTGATATGCAGGATCTAAGCAGAACCCAGCTGATTACTTACAGGAGAGCAGAGGTCATCTACGGCCGACTGGATGGAGAGGGCTGCAGAGGAGGCGAGCCGCCTCTCCGCTCAGGTTCCCCCCTTTCCTTCAGAGCTTCACCCACAGCAGAGATAGATCCACGAGATGCAGACGCTGGGAAGGAGTGATGGACAGAAAGCTGGGCAGGTAGAGGTAGGGGAGAGGTGGAAGGAACAAGATACACAAACAGTCTGACAGCTCACCCTGTCCCCCCCTCCCTCGGTCCTCCTCTCAGACTGTCGGCTCGCCGGCCAGATAACATGAAAGACTAAATAAAGCAGCAGAATCAGAGCTCAGCAGAGCAGAAACTGCTCCCAGGGAGAGCTTTATACAGCTCCTCCTCTCCTGTCTCTCACTCCGGCCCTCCCCTGTTGGTATGGTGAGGACCAATCAGCAATGAGCATTTTGCCAGTCCCCGCCTCCCTCACCAGCCTCTGGTGTTGACAGGACTGTCACATGCATTAGCGACATCTATGAAAGCATGTGTGTGTGTCTGAGGGGGAGACAGATGATTCTTATAGTCAGGCTTTTAATTAAAGCAGCATCGCTTTATCAAATAATCGTAATTGCTGATTTATGAGCTTATATGTGGGTTTAAGTGTTTGTGTTGGTGAGAGCATGAGCTTTAATGAGTTTTTTTGGCATAACTGATGTCTATTAATGATTGACAGGCCTTTTAGGGTATTTATTCAGATTGTCCTAATGAATGAGAACGGTTACGGTTAAGAATCGCAAGTAAAGATTAAGATATGGTGGGAAAAGTTTCACAGAACTGAGAAATGACACCAGAGGAGTGAACAGACACTTAAAGGTACACTATGCAACTGGTGTTGATTTTCCAGCCAGGCTTCCCCCAGAGGGCGAAAGTAAAAGTG